TATTGTCACGACGTTGCCTCGTGACAATTCTCGTGGTCAAACTTGTTAATTAAACAGTTGATTAAGATCCCGTGCTCTCATCTCGCAATCGAATGGTCAGTTGAACTTTTAACTTTCTAGAAATTTGTCACAAGATGATTGATTTGTCGACCTTCGGATGCATGATAAGAACACGAGACCACGTTTAACCCCTTAAAATAATATATATAAATAAACTCCAAAAAAAGAGGAGTTGGTCAGAAAGAGAATTTGCCTCTCAATAGTCTCCTCAGTCCGATTGCCTCTCAATACGAGCAGCTATGGGTAAGTGTGGTCCTCCTTCTCCTTATTGATATGTATAATGATTAGTAATAAATAAAATGTAACTTTAACTTTCAATTTGGATATTCTTTAAATATATACCCGTCACACTAGGATCGAACCCACGACCTCTTTGATATGGGCCCAGCGCCCTACCGACCAGGCTATCCCGGCCTTCTTTCTTCTAATTAGGAAAAATAATTATTTGAATTGCAGGGATAGCCTGGTCGATAGAGCACTGGGCCTATGTCCGAGAGTTCGTGGGTTCGAACCCCGCCTGCCGAAGACACCCCGTGTAGTAAACGGTGATTGATGCACGTTAAATCTGTCGAGTCGCAAAGTACTTCCATGTTCCCATAACAAATCAAAACCTCTCGGGGTACTGAATTGGAGATTGATCGTTCTCTTCTTCAGGTCAAAATTACGACCTGTGGACGAATGAATGGATGTATGAATGGGCCCGCGTGACGTATGGGTGTGGTAGAAGTCGAATTCTTGACCATAGATGGCGCCACTGGAAAACAAGAACAATCGCACCCCTCTGCCTTAACAGGCTTATGTCAACAATAACATTAAAAGGCTAGCTAATGCACCATCGAACAAATGATTTTTTAAGCAAACGGATCTGTCTGACAAACGTACCTGTCTGGAAAATGAGCTGGCCAGCAAACGGACCAGTCAGACAATAGGGTTGTCAAGCAACCGATTGTTGAGAAAATGAACCAGACCCGTATTTACAATAATTAATACAATATACGTAATAATACGGAAAAAATACAATAAATATCAGTACTATACATCTAGGGGCTATTTTAAAATGACGTAAGCAAGCATGAGTAAATAAGATGGCTCAATTTAAATATTTCAGTTTAACAATTTATAATATAATACAATCTCACATCCAGATACATTAGGCAAAGTGTTTAAAACCTACATTAAATTATGGCAAAGACAAATTTTAAAGGGGACAAGACTAGAACGAACCTGTTCATTACTTTCTTAAATTTTTTATTTTTTATTTTTGTCCGAAAGGCAGTTTTGTTCTCACCCTACATAGAAAAATTAATATTCATGAACATTTTCACAAGCATTTATTAAAACTTTTAAACGCTAACGAAGACCTCGAAATAAGCAAAATAAAAGTTCATAAATTTTGGCTTTTAAAAAAATTTCTGATTGCTATAAAGGCACCAGTTTTATTTTTTTTCGAAGAATTAACTTTAAAATGTATATTAAACATTTTCTGCGCAAATAATACTTTGCACAACCATAGGAAAAATAGGCGAAAGAATAAAAATATTGATATCAATTAAGACTCGGATCTTAAATATCGAGTTTCAATTTCGCTTCTTGCTTCAAATAGCGACATTGAAGTTCGCAGGGTTCGGAGTTCGAAGATATTGCAGAAGCTCAGTACGCATTTAATGTGATTAACATGCAAAAGGTTAATTACAAAACTATCATGGTTTTGATTTCCAATATACGTATTGCAATTTTTTCCTCCCAACACTATAGATTATCTTATCGAATATATGCTATTTTATCGCCAAAGACAATTTGCTCGTACTCTCAACTATAAATGTAATATCACCCTGCCATTGCCAAGTACCTAGCCCTGGTTTTCAGGTTTATATCTTGTAATGATTATGTATGGACAAAACTGCGATTTTAATATCAATCAGACGACCTGGACATCTTCTCCATCCCAACCGACGACAAGACTTTTAGCTACGACTAATTTACGGTGCACCTTGCCATAAATACGATCCCGTCGTGAACTGATCATTAAGACACGGTTACCAGCAGATCACCGAAGTCAAGCATCACTGGCTGCGGTCAGTGATTGATTGATGATTGATTTGTTCATTTACGTCGCACTACAACTGCATAATGGGCTATTGGCGACTGTCTGGGAAACATCCCTGAGGATGATCCGAAGACATGCCATCACAATTTTGATCCTCTGCAGAGGGGGGGGGGGCACCTCCGCTTTGGTAGCCCGACGACCTGCACGCAAAGTCGAGCACTTTACGGTAGAACAGTTTAACGAGGACCAATACCGCACACCCTGAGTCCCTCTGCAGACTGATCCAAGTGGTCACCCACCCGCACACTGACCGCAGTCAGTGATGCTTGACTTCGGTGATGTGCTGGGAACCGTGTCTTAACGATCAGTCCACTGCGGGACTGCTGCGGTCAGTGTGCGGGTGGGTGACCACTTGGATCAGTCTGCAGAGGGACTCAGGGTGTGCGGTATTAATCCTGGTTAAACTGTTCTACCGTAAAGTGCTCGACTTCGAGCCGGAGCGCGGGTGCCATCCCCTCTGCAGAGGATCAAAATTGCGATGGCATGTTTTCGGATCATCCTCAGGGATGTTTCCCAGACCGTCGCCAATAGCCCATCATGCAGCTCTAGTGCGACGTAAATGAACTACAACTACAACTTGCCACATATTCTAGCCAGCTATTTAGTCGACAGCTAGGTTAGAACTCACCACCCCTAGCTCTCCACCCGTGCAACTACAAGCGTATGTAACTGGGCAAACCATATTTTTGAAAAGTGACAATTCTTGTCCTGCTGCTCAGCCTGGTTTCATCAAAGAAAATCCCATTGCATGGCGTAGTGGTCAAGAAATTTATACCGAACTGGAAAAATTAAACTCCGCAATTGAATTAGTTTTTGTTGTCATTTACTTTTTGTTGGAAGGAAAAGGCTTGATATTGTTAAAAAAATTATTTTTCTTTGACTAAACATCGGTGAGCATTCCTGATAATGAACCTTATCACCGGGCATTGCACCAACTGAGAATGATAGTCACAACCACAATGAAAAGTACACAGTTACAATAAATGACAGTAAAACAGTGCTACATGCCTGTATCATCACAATCCATTTTTATGTCTACATTTCGTGGTTTCCAGCAGATCACCGAAGTCAAGCATCACTGGCTACGGTCTGTGTGCGGGTGAGTGACCTCTTGGATTAGTCTGCCTAGGGACCGAGGGTCTGCGGTATTGGTCCTCGTTAAACTGTTCTACCGTAAAGTGCTCGACTTCGCGTGCTTATCGTCGGGCTACTGAAGCGGGGTGCCATCCCCTCCGCAGAGGATCAAGATTGTGATGGCATGTCTTCAGATCATCCTCAAGGATGTTTCCTAGACCGTCACCAATACCCCATTGTGCAACTCTAGTGCGACGTAAGTGAACTACAACAACGTCTACATTTCATGTAATATATGACAGCGTACGTGTATGATCTACACGAGATTGTTTAAAATCTACTTGTTGCTGTATATAATCTACCAGTTGCTGCATTTGATCTACCTGTTGCTACATTAAATCTACTTGCTCCGTTGAACGATCTGCCGTAGCTCTTTTCTGTTTGCTCTCTGTTTAAATTCCTTTTTATATATATGTAGGATAAAGGGGGTGAAGCGAGGGTTTCTCAAAAATAAAGAAGACGTGTTAAACTTAATAAAATATATTATAACAAAATAATCTGATAAGCTACAATTTCCACTAGCATCCTCCTCGAGCCAGTCATTCCAACTACATGGTGTAACTGTAAAGAAAGAGTAAATGTAGACGTAAGTTTCCTTTATATCATCACGTGATAGGATGAATGCTTCGTAGATCGGATCTGTATTCCACATATATTCAACATCTTTTTTGTTCAAACCTTCTGAAAATCCAGGAACTAATTCTTTTTAAATTAGTTTTGTTGAACGTTCTTCCTACTTTTCTAGACCTTTTTTTTTCCACATAATTAGAGACAGCTTGCCTTTTCCAATTCTTATCTGGCCCCACGATTGTGATTTAATACAGTTTTTCATAATGGTAAAGTTTTGTTAGTGAACAATTTTGCTAAACAGTGTCTGTTCACACATTGTCATAAGAAGGAATTTTTAATTTCACTCTCTTTGTAGAATTTATAATCATCGATTACTAACAAATTGTGTCCCTTTTCACTAATCATAAATTTCATTTCCATTTTGCTCTATAACATGCAAACATAAACTATGTGTAAAAAAATGCACTTCTAATTCCACTTTGATTTATAAACCTCAAACATAAACTATGTCAAAGAAGGTAGGTACATACGGTGGGTATAGTACGGCTTTCAGGAGAACTCCTCCAGACACCCGTCTCGCGTCGTGGCGGGTACTATGGTAACGAGGAAAGGTCATTTCGAATAGGGGTGTGAGGGTGAATAGCTTTGTCTTAATCTTAGCATAGGTCGTCGTAAGTAAACCAATCGACACGTTCTTTCCTCCATTTCCCACTCATTAGAAATGTGCTCTCGCTTGTTACCATAGCAGCAGACAGCCCCAGACTTTCAGTCTGGAGGAGTTCTCCTCAAAGCCGTACTATAGGTACTTTATTTATGTCGCGCAATGGGCTATTGGCGATGGTCTGGGAAGCATCCCTGAGGATGATCCGAAGACATGCCATCACAATTTTGATCTTCTGCAGAGGGGATGGCTCCCCTGCTTTGGTAGCCCGACAACCTGCGAGAGAAGTCAAGCACTTTACGGTAGAACAGTTTAACGAGGACCGATGCCGCGCACCCTCGGTTCCAACTGTGACGCTTATCGTCACTCAAAATTAAAATCCAGAGGAAGGGCTAAAATTAGATTTCTAGAACATTTCAAAGTCTTCGATTAAATAAAACTACCGTGGGAAATCTCCATCGGCAAATAGTAACTTAAATAGGGATAAAGTAATTCAAATAAACAATTAGGTTTAAATCTTACAATGTCACCCCTATCATGGGACAAACTCGAAAACAACAATAACTTTTGGACCTGACCATTCCTCATATTTTCATCTTTTTATCAAGCAAAAAATACGATATAAAAGCAGCCGAAGGAAAAGTTTGGGGAAGCAATCAAAATAGCAATCAGCCAGAGTGAGTAAAGGGCTGAAACCGAAACCATGACTAAACTTGGTCTCTCTCTCCATCTATTCTGAAAATGCGTAAGAATTAATGTTAAAATGATAAGTTGAATTAATTGTATATTCTAATTCTAAAATAGTTATATAAATGCTAAATTGGTTTAATATAATTATGTTATTTCTTAAATTGTTTAAATAATAAAATGTTACTTGATTAAAAGCAAGACTTATATTAATTCTTTATTTAATTTAGTAAAAACGCCACACAACTTAGGCTGATCAAAGTGGTCACCCACCCGCTTACTGACCGCAGCCAGTAATGTTTGACTTTGATGCTTTACTGGGAACAGTGTTTTTACGTTAAGTTCACTGCGGGACCCAATTTGCTTTACAAAATACAAACATGAGCATCTGTAAAAAATGCACTTCTAACACCACTTTGATTTATAAACCTCAAACATAAATTGTGTCAAAGAAAAACGAACTTTCAATTCCATTTTGCTTTATGAACAGCAAATATAAGCTACGTCAAAGAGAAATGCACTTTGCTTGACTAAACTGCCGGCAGCCAGTTCTAACTCAGTTTTGATTAAGTAAGCAGAGAGTTAGTTGCATCCATCCATTCAATGAAACTCAGCGCAGTCTTGCGCCAAAAGAAACTGGAAGGAAAAAACCGGAAATGGAAAAGATCCAATTCTCAAAGTTAGGAATGGATAAAATGTAAAGTTAGGAATTATTAAAATGTTATAAAAGCGCCTAAAGGGCGTGGAAAGATATGTTTGATGTTTTCTTGCTACTCAAGGGGCAAACGGGGAAAATAAAGAAGGGGGGGCGGAGAAGAAAAAAGAGTTCTTTTAACAACACAATGCAAAATTTAATCTGAATTTAATGTAATAGAATTGAATATTTATTCGTTTATAATTAAGTATTATTTTTAAAAAAATTCCTTAATGAAGCCGTTCAAATATTAACGTAAACAGTTCCCGGGGGAAGAGGATTTGTGATTTTCTTGTTCTTGCAAGCACTGCTTACGTAAGTTATTAAAATTTGTTTATTTTTAAAATTTTCTTAAAAAGGAAAATAAATACTGTAATAAAAAAATCGCATTTGGAAAAAATTTACATTTTTTTTTAAACAAATGTTGAATTTATGAGTAAAATTTGGAGAAAAAAAAATTCTTTGAAGTGTTAAAAGGTCAAGAGTTTTGAATCTGTCAACAGAAAACACAAAGGGGTCCTAAATATTTTACTCCAAATTTTATAAAATAAATTAAAACATAAATTTTGTCTTATGCAAAGTTTTATCTTTTTTTCAAACTTGATTTTAAAATTAAATTGCTGTAGCAAAAATCAAAGTTAAAGCAAAACCAAGAGGAATAAGAAAGATTTTTTTACGTAAGCATGGGAGGCTTGTGATTTGCTTTGAATTGTATTTTGAAATAAATAAAAAAAATCTTACGTAAGCACAAGAATTTGCACTTTTCTTCGCTACCTCAACAAATGTAAGTTTACATAATATTGAATATATTAGCCTTAAAATTAAATTGCCACACATTTCAAAATAGGAACGCTGTACAAAACCAAAATAATAACAATTATAAATTACTCTCAAATAAAAATCTCTGAATAAAATATTATCTCTAAATAAACAATCTCTTTAACAAAGTAATAATTGCAATAACTAACCATCTCAATGCTGAACTGATTCTCTGGTTTTTTTAAAAGATAAAAAAAAAAAAATCTACGATCTAAAATACAATATGAAAATATTTCGGTATATATTTCTTTCATTCAGCAACGAAATATTCATCAAAGTAAAAAAATAATCATCCCAGCTCGCTATTTTTGACCGAATTTAAATATTTGAGGTTAATCAGTACAGTTGCCTAAATAAAACCAAAATTTCGCCTTAACAGAATACTAGATTATGAAAAAATTTCACGGTTGTTTGTATTCTTTGTTATTGTATTTCAGAATCAAATCTGAAGTCTATTATCAACAGACCAATGTTAAGTTTGGTCTGTTGTTTAGAATTTTATCTCGTAGTAACCATGACATTGATAGGTTTTACTTCACTCTGCAACAATACCTTCAAAAATTCTTCTTACCTTCTTTAGAACACAATATTCAAAAGTCCTTTAAACATATATCTAAAAAAAGTTTTATAAACGTCAAGAAAATAACAATAGAAAAGCCATATGAATTATTTACCTTAAGCATGAAACACGAAACAAACTTTCTTCCTTTCAGTATAATACTAAGAAAGCGCCATTTTCCTCAAATTCGTCAAATTGCCCCTACATCCCCACAATCAACTTGGACTAGTCTAGCGAATGTGAGTTGCTATTGATTTTTCTCCTCATTTCACTTTACTTCAAGTATCTGGCGCAACAACAAAGATTTTTTTTTTCCGCCTGTCTCTTATTACAGTTTATCCCTAATAAAAATATTTTGATACGAATTTTATTAAGATAAAGCAAGCGAAGCAAAATAAGTAACATAAAATGAAAGTAAAATACGTTCCTAATTTTAAAATATATTTTAACTTTAAACTTTATGAAGGAATTAAAAATTTGCTATTTTGCAAATTCAAAAATTAATTTGCTATGTCTCATTTAAATAAAATAAAGAATATTCTAAAATAAAAATAAGTAAAACGATTACTTTTACGGTATTGTTTTAAAATCGTTTTCTAGTTTTAAATTTCAATAAAATATTTATTAGGTAGGTAAGTACTTTATTTTCGTCGCACTAGAGTGAGCTATTGTCGACGTAAACATTCTTGAAGATGATCCTCTGCAGAATCCCCAGTGATGAACGAGATAATTTTTCTCTAGATCCTTATACCTATGGTACATCTCAATGACCAACCATAGGATTTTCGATTCCACGAGCACGTATATCGCAAGTACTCGGAGATTCCTAGCAAAGTCAAGGATCGAACGCTCGTCCCTCTCGAATGTAAAGTCCGATTTTCTAACCACTGGGCTACCATGCCACTGTTACAAGAAGGCCGACCAGTCAACATGCCTGACTGCGAAGTCAACGGTTGCGAGTTCGAATACCGCCCAAGGCATGGATGCTTCTCTGTGTGTGTTATCCTTTGTTGTGAATATGAACGAGCATCTGTGTGGCTGGCATCAAAAGTTTAATGTCTGACGTTAAAAAAAATCTTAAAAAAAGTACTGGTAATTACTCTGGCTGTACCGACGTATTATCAGTTTTACTTTATTGTAATTATTTTCCTGTATCGTAATGATCAAGCTGTTCGGGAAAGTAATCCCTCAATTGATTTTAAAACACCCAAATATTAGTTAATCTGGAAAAAGAACAATAAAGTACTACTTTTTAATAATGCTTATAATGAATTTCCTTCTGCTTTTTCGCGTACAATTTTCAATATAACGTAAACCTGTATGAATCTTTACAGTGAATACATGAACCTTTAACCACAAATTAACAAACACGAATCATTAATAGTAAAAAAAGTGTTTTAATTCAAAACAAACATATATTTACAATAAAATCACATATAAAAGCACGCTCCCTCGCAAATGGAATTCAATGAATATTGATCAATATCACAAACCTTCTAGACATAGGTTACAGCTTCTTATTGGAAGTTCGGGTGAAAGATTATTAGTTCTGGAAGTCTTCGTAGAATCCATAGGTACCTGTTTAATAGTCTAACAGGTTCAATTCAAAGAACACGAAGCAACAATATCACAAGTCTACTTCTGTTCTAGGTTCTTCTTTAATTAAAACAACGGATGAACACAGAGAATTTTTATTACTTGGAAGCAGTTCGGGTGAAAGATTATTAGTTACAGAAGTCTTCGATTGAAAGTCAGGTGAATCCATGGGTTCCTGCTTAATAATTGGTTGCAGAACCATATGATGAAAAGGAGATTTTTCTTTACTCGATGCCGAAGATTTTGGTAAAAAATTCTTCTGATTTTTATCTGCAGGGATTGTCAGAATGTCCGGAAGATCATGTGATTCCTGTTTGATTGTTCGAGATAGCACTTCAGACACGGAAGAACCCGATTTGAAATAACTAGATGAACTTGGTTTAGAGAATCCTGGTAAATCTGGAGTTATAATAGCTGCGGAATTCAATTCCTCAATCTTTTTGGGTTCTGGCAGCGCTATCAAAAGTTTTTCTATTTTCCTCTTCTTTGGCACTTGCAGCAATGTGGATGGTGTTTTATTATCAGGTATTGAGACTATAAAATCTTCCTATAAAAAAGAAACATATGTAAGTTGTATACAATTGTTTTGTGCTTGAAAGGAAATTTTTTGGGGTATTTGGGGGTTTATTTTTGGATTTGGTGGGAACTACTTTAATCTGAAGGGGTGAAGTGAAACGTCATAAATAAGTCTTGGATCCTGATAGGTGTCTCAGAACAAGAATATTCTTTGATACTCCTTAGTGTTAAGTAGAAGCCGCCATTTTTGTTATTCAGTAACATTAAAATTTTTTAACGAGAGTATGATGTGATACACATAAAAGTAAAGTTATTTGTACAACACAGTATAAAACAAGAATTATTAATTTAGGATGAGTGTATGCAATATTTTTTTATTAATAAAAATGAGTTTGTTAATTAAACATACGAGTATAGCACAGAGCGAATACTAATTTGAATTCGAACTAGGCTTAACGAAATCAAAGTGGTTAGAAATTAAAAATTACAAAATTATTTAATACAATTGATAGATGTATTAATATAATGTTGACATAATTATATATTCTCATTAGAATTGTCAACCTTCTAATGAGAATATAATTATCTTTATTATACAACTAAAAACAAACGTGCCTTTTATAACAGTTTACTTCTTTTACTGTGAAATGTTCAGCATCGTGCGAGTCGAAAACCAACGTCCATCTTCTCGTACTAAAGTTACAAAGATTGAAGGAAATAATTTATAAATTAACTAAATGCATTTGGTTTTGGTGTAAGCTTTTTCCTTTATTGGAGTTTAGATTTAACTACACCATTTTGTATGACTTCTCGGTTAGGCATTAACTTAAAATAACATACAATTTTTGAAGTTTTTCAACACTAAATCAGGATAGGTAAGATACGATTTTTTTTTCTCAGGAGAAACTGGGGCTGAATTGGGTACCTAGTTTAAAATATGCTCTAAATATACTAAACAGTTAATTAAAAGAGCTACAAATGCTTCGATGAACACATTATACACTCATATGTATAAATTCAAGATAAGACCTTAACAAAATCCCGTCCGTCCTAGCTCTACAATTTCGGGCAATCGAAGAGATTGGAACAAGTACTCAGCATTGCGCATAAGAGGTAATCTTTACTTTTCAGACAAGCTGGGTGGGCTTCAAGCTGTGTGTTTTCCCGTATTCAGTTCGTTAAAAAGTCCTCGAAATGAAATGTCCTCGAATGTCCCCTTCCGGTTGGACGAAAAAGTGAAGCAGGCAGCTTCGAACTTCTCTATCAACAAGTCTTCAATCAGGAGAAAAATTTAAACTAAATGAATATATATATTTATTACTGTCAGATAATTACCTAAATCGGCATGGGGTTTGGTATCGCTGACATACCAAATCTGAACTTTAATGCTTTGAACGGAAACTTTCTGATCAGATTTTAGCAAATAAAATGAAACTAAATAAAACCCCGATATAACGACTGTAACAAATTACGAAAAGTACGCTATCACGACAACTTAAGTTAACGTCGAAACTTTAATATTAATCATACAAAAATTGAATGTTTTGATTGAATGTTTGAAGATTGAATGCTTGAAGAAATTGAACAAGTTAAAAATTACTTGCCTTCCACTAAGGACAAAAAAGTATTTTTATAGAAATACAATTTTATGTTGTTTAAATGGGCGAAATTAAACTTAAAAATTCCAAAAGGGGAGAAGTTTTTATTCATGTCTGGTAACAAAAATTAAAATGAGTAACATTTCATCCTATTTTTATCCATCCAAATTTAATCCTTTATGTTAGCAAAGTAAATATATAATATATAGGCAACCTCTGGCCAAAGTATCTTTTTTCGTACAAAAAAAAAAAAAAAAAAAAAAAAAAAAAAAACTCTTGCAGTTAAGGAGTCTTGCTGCACACTTCAACTGGATGATACTTTGTTTCCCTTCTTGTGAGCTAACTATTAAAATCAACATTCAGCGGTATTGTCACGTTTACGAAACTTCCTTCGTTTTTGACGAAACCATTTCCTGGTATATGCGCCGAGTCTGAATATATTGTATAATAATTTCAGAAGCCATTGTGAATAAGTCCACCTTTTATTAATATTTTTTTACATAAATTTCTTATCTTTTTCAGCTGCCAAAAGGTATAAGTCCTAAAATTTTTAAGATGCTGTCATTATTTCAATAAATACTTACGTTTTTATTTAGACATCCTGTACATATCTTGTTTTTTTGCAGAGTTTACACCTCGAAAAAAGACTTTATACACTTTTCTAATTAAATTATTAAACCAAGAATTTTAAAAACTAATGTATCAAAAAACATTAATTTTCTCAATTTTTGAGTTTTGGACTTAACCGCATTGGCTTCTGAGCGACTCATTTAATGGCATAACTTACCTAGAATCTTAATCTGGTATTAATTTTGTTAAATATCGTACGTGCAAGGCTCACGATCTGTTTGAATTTATAAATTACGGAATCATCTCCACTTTTTGTAATTGACTTTGCTAGAATACATGGACTCATGGACCATATCTAGCTGTTGTTAAGTAATGAAGCATTAGTAACAACAACACATATTACAGAAACTCCTATGTATGGTACGCGTAAATTGAAACACAAATCACAATA